ACGTGCAGTACTTGGTTGGATTCTGGACCAGAGCGAGGACATGCGTGGGATAACTGACTGAATCAGGATGAGGTCTGTAGGTTAGCTTACAGTGTTGCCTCAATGTTAGTTCTTACTATAATTACTCTTAAATTTTAAAGTCAGTCCTTTCTGAGCTCTTGCTTAGCAGGTCTCCGTCTGTGTGACCTTTGTTCCTTCGGTCCATAGGCTTGTGATCTTTACTGCCCAGGCCAGGCACGTTTTCAGACCTTGCCAAATAATGACGCGTACGTTCTGCTAGGCGGTACGTACGTACTTTCTCTTCCCATGCAGTCTCACTATTAAGTGGTGTTGCTGTACAATGAATAACAGGCATCCTTTTTTCAAACTGGTAAATGAGGATGTAGTAATTTAGTGGGTTTCTACCAGCACTTAAAAATGGGATAGAAAATATCAGTGTAAGACAGAGTAAGATTAAATACTGTTGCAAGAAACTTGTTTTGTTTCTATGTGTGTATTTTGCATCTTCACTAGGTGGTCATGTAAAATGCATGTTGTACTCTTAGTTGTCACTAATGAAAAGTTTGAAAGTCCCTGCTTTAAGAGCTATCAGTCTTTTGAAGATAGATGAAGTTGTTAAAAGCATTGTGTTGTACAGACACATCAGAAGTAATTTAGAGCATTTTGTTTGACACCTCTTGAGGATTTTGAGGGCCAGAAATCGGGGGGTTGTATAAAAGTTGAAGGATTTCACTGCGCTTAGGGTCTTAAGCTTTTGCATTTTTAATAGACCACAAGTCACAGTACCTGTCTGCATAAAAAATAATTCAAATGCAGAATACCTGTTCTGCCTGCAAATACGTAGACCTGTTGTGGCACTGATACAATGCTTCGTTTCAAGGACAGAATTTGGCTGTAAAATTTAAGGATGTTCTGGGAATTACTAAAAAAAAAAAAGCAAAAGCAAAACAGATAACCCTAGAGGAGCCAGAGCAGATGGACAGAATGTGCCAAGGAAGAACAAAGGGATTGCTCAAGAACCAGGAAGCGGATGTGTCCCCCTGCTGTCTTGGGCAGCTCTCCAGATGCTTCGGGGCAGGAGCCCTGTGTGAGTGTCCTTTCTCTACAGCGTCACACTCTCTGCTGAGGAAGGTGTGAGCGCTCCGCCATGCACCCCGTTATTTTAGGGGTGGAGTTTGACGAGCTGCGCACGTGTGGTCTTCACACTGCCCAGCAGGTGCTCTGCTTGACCTCCAGGGTTTTGGAGGAAGATGACATGGAAATGTCCTCAGGAAAATGTTTTATTATTACTGTTTCTGTCAGTTAAATTTTGGAGAATTGTATTAGGTAATCATGGGCTTTCTTGGGGCTTCCCTTGTGGCTCAGATGGCACAGATCTCTGGGTCAGAAAGATCCCTTGGATGACTACTCACTCCACTCTTCTTGTCTGGCAAATCCGGTGGATGGAGAAACCTGGCAGGCTGCAGTCCGTGGGGTCGCACAGCGCCATACACGACTGAGTGAACACTACCCCTTTCACATAGAGGGGTCTTTAAGACCAATGAGATCTGGTTTATTTAGAGCCTGCCTGCCAGTGCAGGAGACGAAAGAGACACCAGTCTTTTGGAGCTTCCCTGGTGGCTCAAGATAGCAAAGATCCCTGGGTCGGGAAGATCCCCTGGAGAAGGGCATGGCAACCCACTCCAGTATTCTTGCCTGGAGAATCCCATGGACAGAGGAGCCTGGCAAGGAATCGGACATGGCTGAGCCCACTTGTGCACGTGTGTGCACACACGTGCGCGCACACACACAGACAGCCACTAATTACTGTTTAACAGCAGCCAAGTAATTTGACTTTTCTCAGCTTCAGTTTGTCTTCTGTGAAATAGAACAGGGGCATCTCTGGATGGTGGGGGGATAGATGAAACAGGAAATAGGAAGGAGCTGTGGTCTGTACAGAACACTTTACTGAAAGAAGGCAATGACATGCAACTGCTTTTCTCTGGCCTTTATGAGAGGGTTGAGTAGTGAAGAGGGTTCTATGGATCAAAGTCTTCATGGCGTAAAACAAGTCTTTTACGCAGTTACTACAAAAATCTACAAGGGAGAAGCTTGAGGAAGTTCTCCCATACCATATGGAGTTGAGACCTAATTCTGTGTTTCAGGAATTTAACTCTCCAGAAGGTTTTGAAAGCAGAAGGTAGGGTTTTACACCCTATTTATTGAGTAAAACTGTTACCTGGACTGGAGACATTTTACAGAATTAAAGCAGTTGCTCACTCTGATGGATATAACACGCAGATGATTAAACCAACTTAATCTGCCTTCTGCTGAAATGTGCGGTTGGGTGACAGGTGTGTTTTATTTCTTGAAGTATGGGTATTAAATTTAATTTCCCTGAGACGATTATAATCAAAAATGTTTTTAGCCCAGTTGTTTGCTCTTTGACCATTAACTAACAAGATGATTCAGTCAGGATTTATTCAGTTCAAACTCAGTCTTTCGAAACCAACCATGTAGTTTCAACTTAGTTTTGTTTCCTGGAGGGGTAGAATGTGGAATCCCGCCCCCCCTCAGTTTCCCATAAAGAGTATAAACTTCAATACAGGCAAATTTCAACAAGATGAGTAGACCAGTCTTTCTGGAAATCACTTTCGTGTTGCAAGGAGTTTTTAAAGTTCCTTTAGTTGTTTTCTAGTGAGCATTCACTAGTCAATCTTTTTTCCTTTTTCAAAACAAATTTCCTTCTTTTTTTCCTGGCCTAAAAATAATGCAAATATTCATGAGTTAATTTCTTTTCATGTGTTTATAACTACATATTTCCTAGAGAATTGTGTTTTAATGAGATTGTCAGAGTTTCTCAGTTAGCCCTGTCTCAAAATGTTTTAGGGCAATGCATTTTAATGTTTTCTAATTCTACACTGGAGAAATCCTAACAGGGTATTTAAGTCAGGTGATAAAATGAGAGTCGTAAAACTGCTTTAAAGAACTATGGTGCTGGAATGGATTTCCTTCCTAGTTCAAAACATTTCAGAAACTGCATGAATGACCTTTATTTTCTTCTCTGTAGCACACACGACTGTAATTTCCCATGACTATTTATGGTCTGTACAGCCCTTTTCTAACTTCCTTTTTTTTTTTTTAAAGAAAATGTCAACGGAATACGTGTTTCTTTAATGGAAAATGTTCTATTTTGGGGATGCTGCTTTTCCTTAGCTACATCGTGGAGTTGTGTGTGTGTGTAAGTGTGTGGGGGCTGCAGGATCAGAGAGAGTATTGAATTAGTGGATTGAAAGCTTGGAATGACAGTCTTGGTGGTAACTCCTGAAAACAGAGCCTTCTTTTTATCCTTGATTAAAAATATCTGTACCTGGTATTTCAGAGTCTTTATTTTCAAGGAAGATTTTCTTTTTTTAACTAAGGTATGGTAAAATAGTCCCGAACTGAGTGCAGAATGTTTCAAACCTGGGTGGTTTTGAAATGAGAGAAGGTCAGTTCATGAATAGAGTGGTTCGTTCCAGGTGGGCTTGGGGAGCAAGGCAGCTTTGGCCTGGGTAACTGTGGCAGGGGGGCGCTGTGGGCTGGGCAGTCTCTGCTCGGTCCCTGCGGCCCCACGACGGAGCCCCGTGCTGGAGGTCACCGGATGCAGCAGGGTTGTCTGCCTGCCCAGGTCCTGCCCCTCCCTTCACTTCCCTTTTCAGTGATTGGGAACCTGATCCCAGCACGGATTGTGTTTCAGTTCTCCAACTTTGCATTTTGCATTTATCTGTGTTTCACAGTAACTAAGGAAGGATTACAGTTTTTTTTGAGAGTTTTAGTTACCTCAAGTATAAAAACATTATTCATAGTTTAGCTATTGTTCACACTATCATTTGGATTACTGATAGCATATATTAATACGTATGTTTCTGTGTAAATTTTATTAAAGTATAATATAAATACAGAAATGGGACCATAAGTATGAAAGTGTTAGTTGCTCACTCCAATTCTTTACAACCCCATGGACTGTAGCCCACCAGGCTTCTCTGTCCATAGAGTTCTCCAGGCAAGAATACTAGAGTGGGTAGCCCATTTCCTTCTATTGCAAGTATAGTACTTGATAAATTTTCTCAAAGTGAACATATTCATGTGACCAGCACCCAGATTAAGAACCAGTACAGTATCATACTGGAAAAATTAGAAGCTATCTCCTAGGCACTGCCTCCCTTCCCTGACTTTTAATACTGTAGATTAGCTTTGCCTGATTTTGAACTCTGAAATTATGGAATCATGCAGTGTATCCTGTTATCTAGATTCTCTTATTAGTATCATATTTTTGAGATTCATCCTATTGATACATGTAGTTCTTCATTTTCACTACTATATAGTATTCCATTATTTTACTATAGAACAAGTTATCTCTTGCAGTTGTGAATATATGTCATTGAAGTATGGTTTAGACAGCATACTGAAAAGGACTTAGTCACTATGTGATTTAGTTGTATTGTGATCTAACGTCTGATTGTTTTATTGCTATGAAAACTCTTTTATTTTAAAATAAGCAATTGTGTTTCTCTTTCTTAAGACAGAATATTAGCTTTACCTTATCACTCTCCTTTCTACTGCCCATCAGCTATAAAATATGACTTCCTTTTACTTTAGTACTTCCATTAAAATGTATTTCTAGGGAATTCCCTGGCAGTCCAGTGGTTAGGACTCCATGCTTCCACTGCAAGGGGCAAGGGTTCCATCAGGGAACTTAAGATCCTGCAAGCCACACAGTGCGGCCAGAAAAAAACAAACAAAAAAAATTGATCTCTGTCTCTTTGCAGTTAACACATTTAGGTAATTATTATGTTCAGTGTAGATTGTGGAGTCCTATATCTGTATGCCTGCTAAAGCTAAAACCGATCTGTAAGTTCATGTTTCTAAATCCATTCTCCAGCATGGCTGGTGTCCATCAGAAACTTCTGGGTTTGTTGAGAATTCTGAAGTGGAGCTCTGGCTTATCAGCAGGATTTTGTTGTGTTTTGTCATCGTAGCCTGAGATTCCTGAATGCATCTGCAAACAAACTGGAAACCCTCCCTCCAGCCACACTTTCAGAGGAGACCAACAGCATCTTACAGGAGTTGTATTTGACGAATAACAACCTCACAGATAAGTGTGTGCCCTTGTTAACCGGACACCCCCATCTGAAGATTCTTCACATGGCCTACAACCGACTTCAGAGTTTTCCCGCAAGGTAAAAGATTACAGAGTGGCATCCTTCATTGCATATCTGAAGATGGGTTCATAGATGGAAAGGCCAAAACTAAAATGTTTATTTTCCAAATAGTGTAAAGCTTATTCCTCTTTTCTATAAGCCATTATCAACATTGTGTTAAAGAGGAGTGTGTTTATTTTTCTAATATGAATGTATCCAAGGACCCAATTGCTAGAATGTTCTTATGATTTTGAAACAAAGTATGTTATTTACAAGGTGTATTTTTTCTGTTGCTTCCTATTAACCAGTCAAATTAATTTTTTTAAAAATTAACTTAGTATGGTGAAAGAATTAGAACATTAACTAGAAACCTGAAGGTTCTTAATTCACTAATAGCTTTGTATTTGTGTTTATGGTATAAAAACAGTGGTGGCTTATTTGATCATAGAAACTGTGACATTGGAAATAATTTATGGCTCTCAGAAAATTACACTTTTAAGTCTATTTTAATTTGAATTTGTAATCTGGGAAACAGTAGCACTGTGTCTTGCTTTGAGTGAATCTGCACACTGAGCCTGCCATGGAGGACTCACTCTGCTTCTGTGTCATTGGCATTTATCCTTTAAAAAGTCAGGTCCTAGAGCTCACACCCACATGTCAAAGAAGCAAACAGTAACCCCTGTGGTATTCTACTGTTAACTGCAGCTTAGCGTTGAGCCAAAGCAGAATATTGGCACAGCCTCCCTCTGTGGCCATCAAGGTTAGCAGTCTGTTGAAGCCCTTACTAACACAGGGAGGCCCAGATATGCATTGACTTCTAGTATTGCCCTGTATTGTAGTATACATTTATTTATTTTCTCCCACTCATTTGATGTTAATGTTTAAGCTTTTCTTTTTTCTTTTTAATTGTTATGTATTTTTCTTTTATTACGGAATGAGATGATAGTTTTAGAAGAAAACATAGTAGTCCCATAAGGATAACATCCCTGAAAGGGCTCCCCGTCCTCTTTGAGATGGTTAGTGACCAAGCACAGCAGGAGAAATGGTCATCCACTCAGGTTCTGAGGGTTTCCCCAGGGACCCAGGCCACTGGTGACCACCCTGAATATAGAAACTTGTCTTTTTTTTCACCTTCATTCTGTGTTGAGGCATAGAAATTTCTTTAACATTTTCTTCCTCGGGCCTGATTTCCATATTTTGAATCTTTTTTCATGCCTGTTGCTTATTGATTTCTTCCCATATCTTTTCAAAATATGATGACATATTCAAATAACAATCTCTTACAAATTCAGGCTATCATAGATGGATTACTTGACAGTCTACATACAGGGGTGTTTATAGAATATCCTAATCCCATGTTGAATGTTTATGATATTAAAAGATCTGATTTCATAAGATAAAAACTTAGTTCTTGTATCTTTGGTATATGTCTTTGAGTAATCAAATAATGTAACCTTTATTTTTGAGAGGTAACAGAAGGCAATAAAGGGTTTCTTGCTAAATTGTTTGTATGGTTTATTATGACAAGTGAAACTGAACCAGGCAGGTAAGATATAATAACTGTAAACTAAATGATTCACATTGTAGGTTTGAGTTGCACTCACTGATGCCTGTTAAGACTCCAGCATCACCTGCGGTGGAAAAGGGGTCAGAGGAGTGATAGATGCATACAGGACTGGGGGTGGGGGCGGGGGAACATTCTCCCTCTAGATTTACAGAAAATATAGGAAACCCCTGACTCTGGAATTTTTCTTTATTTGGTTACTGTAATTATTGATTAATTAATGTTAATTCTAGACCATAGGTTAAGATTAAACAATAAAAGACATCCTTAAACAAAAACATTAAATTATATTGAAAGTGAAATTCACTCAGTCATGTCTGACTCTTTGCGACCCCATGGACTACACAGTCCTTGGAATTCTCCAAGCCAGAATACTGGAGTGGGTAGCCTTTCCCTTCTCCAGGGGATCTTCCCAACCCAGGGATCGAACCCAGGTCTCCCACATTGCAGACGAATTCTTTACCAGCTGAGCTATCAGGAAAATTACATTAGGGTGTATTATTAAGGTAAAGTCAGAAAAGTGCTTTCTTTGTAGATATTTAGCAGAAGTTGAGAGAAATTTCTTTGGGTACAGATGGAATTTGGCTCAGCCAGAAGATCTCTTGTTGGCTCAGACAATAAAGAATCCACCAGCATTGCAGGAGACCTGGGTTCGATCCCTGGGTGGGGAAGATCCCCTGGGGAGGGGAAAGGCTACCCACTCCAGCATTCTTGCCTGGAGAATTCCATGGACAGAGGAGCCTGGTGGGCTACATTCCATGGGGTCTGAAAGAGTTGGACACAACTGAGAGACTAAGACACTCACACAGAAGGTCTGGAGGTGATCCGGGTGTCCCGCAGCATTCTCCTCCTCACCGCCACTTTGTTTTCACACGTTGTGTCGGAGGAGTGTGGGGAGTGGGGTTTCAGGAGAAAGCATATCTTCATATAAGCTGTTCCCTCTTCTCCTCTGTACCCCCTTGAGGTTTCAGTGCCAATACAAAGAAATCCTACTCTTACACTAAGCTCTTTTAAAGCACATATACTGGATCAGTGCTAACCTTTGACCCATTTGAGTAGGATTTTCAAGTTCTGATTTGAAGTTCAGACTAAGCCACATAGCGAAGTGATTGTTGTCAGGATAACTTAATTCACACACAGAGTTTTAATAGGAAAAAGACATCCGTTTTTCTTCTTGTTGCCAATTTAAAGAGTTGAAGCTGAGACTTTTTGTTTTGTAGTAAGAAAAGTGTGTGTGTTCGTTGCTCAGTTGTGTCCAACTCTGTGCGACCCCAAGGACTGTAGCCCACCAGACTCCTCTGTCCTTGGAATTCTCCAGGTCAGAATGCTGGAGCAGGTTGCCATTTCCTATTCCAGGGGATCTTCCTGACCCAGTGATTGAACTCGGGTTTCTTGCGTCTCATGCATTGCAAGCGGATTCTTTACTGTCTGACCCACCAGGAAAGACCCCTGTAGTAAGAAAGGAGGTGTTAAAATACTTTGATCCTCAAAAAGAGTAGTGAAAAAGTGATTTAACAATCATTTGTTAAAATGATTCTAAGTGAATCTTTAAAGAATCTTCAGACTAAATTACCCTTTGGTTCTCATTATCTATTATTAGTATTTTCTTTTTAAATTTCCTTCTAATTATTTTGTGACTTGTCCACCTTGGATTTTCTCTTTCTTTAGTAAAATGGCAAAACTGGAGGAGCTTGAAGAGATTGACCTTAGTGGGAATAAACTGAAGGCCGTCCCGACAACCATCATGAACTGCAGACGCATGCACACGGTGACTGCTCACTCCAACTGCATCGAAGTCTTCCCTGAAGTTATGCAGCTCCCGGAAATCAAGGTATGTGGTCCAACCCGTAACCCCCAGCCTTCAGGTCTGCAGAGAGACTTGTTTCCTCTGAGTCACCAGTTCAGGATGTTGGCACCCTCATTGGGTCTCCTCAGAATGAAGACATCTCTGTTGTTCTTGCCCCATCCTTACTCACTGCTGGGCCACACTGCTGAGTTGGCCAAGGCGGGGGAAACCATTAAACAAGAAACCCTGGACTGGGAGTGGGGAAGGTGGCTCCGAGGTCAAGAGTCTGCCTGCAGAGACGCAGGAGACCAGGTCCGATCCCCAGGTCAGGAAGATGCCCCGCAGGAGGGGACAGCCGTCCACTGCAGTGGAGGGTCCCATGGACACAGGAGACCGGGTCCCATCCCCGGGTCCGGAAGATGCCCTGCAGGAGGGAGCAGCCGCCCACTGCAGTGGAGAGTCCCATGGACACAGGAGACTGGGTTCCATCCCCGGGTCCGGAAGATGCCCCGCAGGAGGGAGCAGCCACCCATTGCAGTGGAGGGTCCCATGGACACAGGAGATCGGGTCCCATCCCCGGGTCCGGAAGATGCCCCGCAGGAGGGGACAGCCGCCCACTGCAGTGGAGGGTCCCATGGACACAGGAGATCGGGTCCCATCCCCGGGTCCGGAAGATGCCCCGCAGGAGGGGACAGCCGCCCACTGCAGTGGAGGGTCCCATGGACACAGGAGATCGGGTCCCATCCCCGGGTCCGGAAGATGCCCCGCAGGAGGGGACAGCCGCCCACTGCAGTGGAGGGTCCCATGGACACAGGAGCCCAGCGGGCTGCAGTCCGTGGGGTCACAAGGGATTGAACACTACTTGCGACTGAACAGCATCAGTCGCATAGCCGCCTCGCTCGTTCCTATCATGTCTAACAGCACCTGCCGCACCTTTTCTCAGGGTGTTTGTGAGACTCGGACACTGACCAGGCTCGATAGGAGTTCGGCAGAGCCAGCAACACCACTGCACCCCACGCCCTGATTAAACAGCAGCATCCCCCCAGCATGTGGAGCAGTAGTAATTCCCTGGGCAGATGTAGTCTCACTGCTGCTACTGTGACCAGAGATTCACTTCAGTTGAACGATGCTGGCAGAACAAGTAGTATCTCCCACGTGGTAGGCAGGGAAGCTGAGGTGCTGAAGAAGAAGTGGTTGGTGTCAGTGAAGAGATCAGCTTGGTGGCAGAGACTTTCTGCACCTCCTGACCCTGAGCACTCACAGGATGAAACCAGTTCACTAGAAGGAATGTCATCTAATGATTTTTTTTTTTTGGCACAAAGAATAAGAAGTTCTTTCATTTGTATCTCAGCATTTCTGATTATTCATTTTATACTTAAAAAAAAAAAACTCTGGTTATAGACTGAGGATAAATTCTGATCTCCTAAAAAGGAACAAATGTCATCCTATTTGAAGACACTTTGAATAGCATGAACGATTTTTCATCACAGGAGTACATTTACATGGTTGAGGTGTGTATGAGCCGTGTGATAAGTGTGTGTGTGTATGTGCTTTAGGCCATGAAGTATTTTACTGTGAGCACTGTCTTCTCATACTTGACTGTGGCATTTTACAACACTTACTGAAAACTAGCAGAATTTTTTTTTTTTTGCTATGCCGTCTGGCTCGTGGGATCTTAGTTCCCTGACGAAGGCTGGAGCCCGGGCCCCTGCAGTGGAGGCACAGAGTCTTAACCACCACACCACCAGGGAAGTCCCAGAAGTATTCTGTTTTTACTTTATAGCACCTTTTACAGTGGGTAAGAGGCACGCTTCTGAAAGGAATCGATCTAGAGTTGGATTCCAGCTAAAAGTCACTTAATTGTTCTGTTTCCTCATCTGTACAGTGAGGGAAAGAACAGTACAGAGTTGCAGTATTGCCGTGAGGATGAAGTGAAATATAACATATAAAGCATCTGAAATAGAAGTAAGAACTCTAAGGAGAGTGCTAAATGTGGACTATTATTAGTGACGAGGCCTCCATAGGGGTCAGCTCTGATGTTGATTATATGGAGCAACTGTTTTGACTGATGATCAACAAAATCCAGGAAACCCGTCGCTTAAGCACAGGCTTCTCTGATTCCAGCACAGGAGCTGTGTTGACAGCTGAGCCTGCCGGGGGCTGCTGGCCAGCCGACCCTGGGAGGGGGCGTGGTGTGTCACGGGTGCTCATTAAACAGGACCTTGTGCACCCCGGCCTCCGGATTAACCTCCCGTGTGCTGTCTTATTTTCTGCACCTGTCTTTTAATGTTATCGAACTCTTAGTTGTAGATTCTTTTGTTTTTAAGTATCTGGTTTAAAATACGGATAGACGTTTGCACTTTTCAAGTTTTGACTAGATTTTGCACAATGTGAATGTTGTCCTGCAAAAGCAAACTTTCTCTTAGACTCTTCCTTGGGTTCCTGGCTTTTAAAATTGGTGCCTTTGTGTTTCGTTTAATTTCTTCCCTGCTGTCTGCTCTCTGTGCCCTGATTTGCAGCCCCTGCGTTGGGGGTGGGGGAGGGTGTGTGGCTGGAGCTACACCAGTGGCTTGTGGGGTCTTAGTTCCCCTCCCCCAGGGTTTAAACCCAGGGCTCTGGCAGTGAAAATGCAGGGTCCTAGCCACTGGACCACCAGGGAAGTCCTACAGCCACTTTTAAAATATTACTTTTGGTGTTATTTTTTAATAGTTTTTTTTTAATCCCAGATATTATATGTTAGCATTTTCCTTATGTTAAAAATGTCCAGTCTTTCTGACCCAGTCTCATGACCAAGAGATATTTTGTTGTTGGGGTTTTATTTGGAGGGGCGGTGATGCGCAGTATCAAGTATCCTTTACATACAAAAGTATGAACTTTGCAGCCCTGGACAGATAGTGTTATTGAAAAAGTAATAGTTACATTGTTTGAGAACTCTGGATTGATATTTTGGTGTTATTTCATATGAGAAACAACTCATTCATATTTCATATGAGAATATTTTAAGCAGCTATGTAAGTATTTACACACATTTAAACCATCCAAAAGAAAATTCCTGGTAAAAATAGTGGCTGATAACAAATGATAAAATACCTATAAGAGTCATCACTGCAAACTGAGCCCTAATGCATGTTTTTAATATAAAAGAAATCATTTTTTATAAGTTGAAATAATCTAGCCTATGTTAAAAATTTTATTGTGGTTCAGATGGTGAGAATCCATCCACCTGCAATGCAGGAGACCCAGGTTTGATCCCTGGGTTTGGAGGGAAGGTCCCCTGGATAAGGAATGGCAACCCACCCCAGTATTCTTGCCTGGAGAATCCCATGGACAGAGGAGCCTGGCGGGCTGCAGTCCATGGAGTCACAAAGAGTAGGACATGACTGAGTGACACTAGTAATCCTAGATTATATTCTTAATGCTTCTTGAAAATAAAGTACAGTAATTGTAAGGTGTTTCATATAAAGTGTTAAAATCATTGCAATTATAAACATTAGCAGATAACATAATTTTAAAAAGAATAAGGTTCTATTATATTTAGCTCGTTCTCTGTGAGCAGTCTCATCTTTTAAGAAGGAGAGGGCTTGTTCACAGCTTTGTTACCAAAGCTTTAAAACCAATTATCATTTAAAAGAATAAACAAGTTTTCTTACTAAAATATATATACTAAAATGTAATTTTTGAGACTTGTAAAATTAGGCCATTATCCGCATACCCCTAAAACAGAGACCACGTGCCTCCCCTAATCTTGGATAAAATGTGGGTGTAGGCTTCCCTCATTTTGGTGCATTCAGTGAGATCTCACAGAGTGATCGTCAGGCAGCAGATTCTCTGTGTGGGCCAGAAGTCATATAAGTTAGTAGGAAAAGGTTAATTTTTTAGAGTTTCCTGATGCGCTCGAGGGCACCCAGTCGTAGAAGCTTTGCTCCCTAGGATTACTGTCTTCACCACTGTTCGGCACTTCCTTCCAAACCCACCACCAGTCCTGTGTCCTGGAGCAGGTCGTGTTCCGTTCTGATTCTAAAATAGACACACCTCCTTCTGGATACAGAACCGCTTGGTCATCAGCTAGAGAGGAACGCCTGGTCCTCGAGTCCCCACGTCAGCCAGGCTTGGCGTGAGGTCCCAGCGACGTCCTGTCTGGGCTGGGCTGCTGGTGGCCCAGAGAGCAGCGGAGCCGCCTGGGTGGCCCTCGGCCCCTCTCGCCCAGGCCCCTCACCTCGCTCCTCAGCAATGACGGCGAGACTGTAAGAGCCTGCGCAGCAAAACCCGAGCTCTTCGTTGAATGACTTCCAGTTAGTGGCATATTCCTACCATTTTCAGAGTGCGGTTTAAGCAGGCGAGATTAATGTGTGACACAGCAGGTGAAATTTAAACACCATATACCAGCAACTTTTGTCAAATTTTCCATTTTTCTATAGGGTCCTGATTCTGGCCCCTAGGTGAACAGCATATTTTAGAATGTTTTAAGTTCTCCCCAGAAGGTTATTTTCATGTTTGCGCTGTGAAGTAATAAACCATTTGGACAAGTTGAGTGATGTCATCTCTAGGACTGTTGTTTTCACTGGGAAATGGAGTACAAAATGTTTTTAATACACCACACTCTTGACAACAATGGCTCCAGGAAGTTGAATTTCCCTTGGAATCAAGCCGTGTTTGTTGTTTCTGAAGTGGGATGAGAGCAAGAGAACCAGCTCAGTCATAAAACACAAAGCATGTGGGGAAGTGGTGGGTCAAAGCGGATGAAAGAAAAGGCATTAATTCTTCGGAAAGGAGGGTAAGGGAAATAAAGACACACCAGGGACCGGTTAGGTGGCAGTTTAGGTGGGGTAGCTGACCTTCTAGACTCAACAGGTCACCCAGGAACTGAAATATCCAAAAACCAGGAAGCAGGAACAATTGTCTTTCTGATCCTGGAGTCTGGGTATTAGTTATTTAGGAATTCTTCCAAAATTTGGGGAATCTGGCATCCATTCCTGTTTGGAACAAAAGCTGTGGAAAAGGAATGAAGCAGTATCTCCCAGGACAGGGCCATTGAAGCCGCTTTTCTCCCTGCCGCACTGGCCACACAGTCCGCAGGAAACTAGGCCTGAACAGTCTCTCTCTCTGAGTCAGGGTAATGTATTATCTCAGACAGATCGGTTTGTTTTTTTAACTCAAGTTTGAAAAATTATTTCAGCAAGTCTTTTAAACACAAAGCCACACCCTTTCCAACCAAATACTGCTTCATCTTATGAAGTGGGCTGTGTGTACATGCAGATAAACAACTGGCCCTCTGAGAGTCGTGTGTGTGTGAAAAGCGTCTCTTCAGAGATGCTTCAGGGAAAGGAGCACTTGTGTCCTCAGAGAGGTTGGCTGGGAAGTGGGCGCTGTCATGCTCTCGACAGTCTCCTATCCACAGGGAGAAGAGAAGTAAGATCATATGCCCCAAAGTCTGGAATATGACCTGGAATCATCTATAAACTTCTTTGACATCTCCTTTCTGATCTAAAATTACATGTTAATTTTGTGTTCTACTCTTTTACCATTTCTTTTAGTTTTAATATAGAAGTGAAGGCTCCATAGTCTTCTAAGTAACACTGACGCCCCCAGAAGCACAGGCCAGGTGTCCTGTTAGTTTATGATATACCACTGAGTCTCCCCAAGGGCACACATAACCAGTTTTAAGAAGAAATGATGAAAAGGAATTGCTTAGCTTATATATAGGATGCATTTCATTAAAGTCAGATTTTAGAAATAGTTTTGGTGTTAAAGGGAATTTACTATTTGCAGGAATGGAATAGTAATTGGTGGATTGAAGATTTTTTTGAAAAAAGTTTTACCCTGATGGTCATTTTTGTCAAGGTGTTGCCAATAAGGTTTCCTAAATCTAAAATCCTGTTGAGAAAAATCAGAGATACTGTATATAAACTTAAAAGGAAGGGTCTTTACAAATTAATGGAGAAGGGAATGGCAACCCAGTCCAGTGTTCTTGCCTGGAGAATCCTATGGACAGAGGAGCCTCGTGGGCTGCAGTCCATGGGATCGCAAAGAGTCAGACATGACTGAGCAATTAACACTTTTACAAATTGAAGTTCTTATTTTGCTTATTCAGTCCACAAGCATTAGTGGAAGACTATTAAAAGAATAGGAAATAGTGCTTGTAAGCAAAGCACTTACTGTCTGTGTTAGCACCAGAGGTCGTCACCAGGTATCAGCGTCCTGTACTTCTTAGGAATAAACCCCCTTCAGTATGCATGGCTGTGTAAGGGGTGTTTCTCCACTCAGCCTGCCCTTAATGAAATGAGTTCCCGTCTCATGCAGAAGCAGTCACATTTAAAAACATCGGTTCCTTTGCAGTGCTACTTACTCTAGACTGAATTTAACCTAAACATGTGTATTGCAGTTCCCATCCTAACAGATCTATTAAGATCCGTTCATTTATTCAGTCAACAAATAATTGCAGGCAGTAGTTTGTTTCTCCTTCTGGTGAAAGCATCGGTCGAGCTTCTGCTTTGCGCAGTGTGCTAAAAACACATGAGACGTGGGAGGAGATGCAGCAGGAGAGTGTGAAGCGTTTCATCCACAGAGGATGCAGTGCAAGGGCACAGACGAGAACAGGTTGGCAGAGAGTCCCTCTGACACAGCTGAACACCACGTGAGGACGCAGGCGCCAAAAGGCGGTCTAAAGGCCACAGCTGAGGACTTCGGGGGCATGTTGAAGAGTGGCAGGGAGCGGCAGAGAGACTGAGGCTGGAGTGGAATGAGATAGAAAAAACCACATCAGAAAACCACCCCGGCAGCACCAAGAGGAGCGGATCAGAGGGAAGTGAGGCTGAAAGCAACGTTGGGAAGTGCTCAGTGGTCAGAACAGGATGGTGGAACTAGATGGTGCGGAACTGGCTGCAGGGAGTTCAGGACTGGTGACCAGATGGGCCTGGGAGGGCTGGTGCATGAACCCATCTCTCAGAATCTGTATCGCTGTCCCCAAGGTCACTTTTATAAATGATACCCCACAAACTTGTTTATAATCTGGTAATTTAAAGAAGGAGCAATTTTATGTCTATGGAATTGTAAAAGTTTACATCTTTAGAGGTAGCATTAAAAACATTATTGACCAATTGCATAAAAGTCAGTGATGTTCCATAGTGTCTTTAATCTTTTCCCGTAATACATACTCTGACCTCTGAATTCGTTTGTGTCAACCATTTAACCTTCTGTGTTACCAACACCTGTCAGTCCTTGAGCTCATGTTTCATCACCATCAGGAGACTCTATTGATACCGTGTGATGTGCTATTTTCTCTCTACTGATGTATACGGACCGTGCTACCAGAATAGCCCATAATGAAGCAGTATTATCAGGGTTTCTATCAAGTCCAGGTGGCATACAGCCATTATTTATAATTGGAAAAACAACAAAAAGGAGGAGATGACCATGTCCCTATTATTAACATTTAGATTAAGTGAATTCTTGCACTTCTGTTCAGAGTATTAATGCTATCAAAGGTGATGAGAGAGAAGATCTGGAATAAGTGAAATGTAATGAAATTGTACCTACATTTATGATTTTTATATTTTAATAATAAGGCTAAAGAAAGATACAGAACTCTAACACTGGTTATGTTCAGGTGTTACAGGGTAGTGGTGGTGGTGTAGTCACTCAATCATCTCGTGACTCTTTACGACCCCATGGACTGTGGCCCGCCAGGCTCCTCTGTCTGTGGGATTCTCCAGGCAAGAGTACTGGAGTGGGTTGCCATTTCCTTCTCCAGGGGATCTTCCCAACGAAGGGATCGAACCCAGGTCTCCTGCATTGCAGGCGGATTCTTTACCATCTGAGCCACGCTGGAAGCCCTAGTCCGTTGTAAATGTTTAGGGCTAAACAGCAGACAAACATAGTTCCTGCATTTGGCCGTCATAGTGCAGTGAATCGTCAGACTGATTCTCCTGCAGCAGAGCATTAGAACTACTTGAACCACTTCTGCAGGCCATGTCTTCTTTTTTCCACTTTTCCTTCAGTGCGTGGACCTGAGCTGTAACGAGCTAAGCGAAGTCACGTTACCAGAAAACCTGCCTCCGAAGCTGCAAGAGCTGGACCTGACTGGAAACCCCCGGCTCGCCCTTGACCACAGAACCCTGGAGCTGCTGAAGTGAGTCCTTCGTGAGGCGCCGCATCCCCTCACTGCAAACATTAAGTGGAATGGGAAGTGTCTGACTCACTAGGTCTGTCTGCACAGACTTGAAGTGAAGTGATTTGTGAGTCTGTAGTTCACCAAGATGGACGGATAGCCAAAAATTTTTTTCAGATAATTGGATACTCCTGTCCTTCCAGAAAGTTTTTAAGAAAGTGTTCAGACAAAAAGAGATGAGAATAATGAAAACAAAGTAGAAAGGGAGATTTAAAGACACAGGAGACCTACAACTCTCCCCAGTTTTACCAGGATGCAGAGGCTTGGCCCAGGTCTCTCAGTGTGCCCATACCTTAGTCTTTTCATCTTTAAGGGAGGGTGGTCTACACGCTGTCTAAGGGACTTTTCAGAACTAAGAATATATGGGTTATCAAGACATATTTCACCCTTATACAGGTAACTTTTGAGTGTTTAGAAATATGACATGTCATTTTGTATTAAAAATAATTGTATAAAAATGTGTTAATAAGTGAAAGCAGCTCTTTGGAGAAAAATAAAAGTCAAATTTCTATTGCACACCAAAATAAACTCCAGCTAAATTAAAGAGTTAAATCTATAAAATGAAATAATTTTTAAAAGTAAGAAGAAATCATATATATTCACAAACCAGAAAAGAACTTTTAAGGCCAAAAAAGAGAAGGGGAATCACAAGAGAAGTCAGTATATTGGTATTAACATTTATGTTATATGTAGTTATGTGTGAGTCAATAATGCTAATGACTCATTCACGCAGAAAATAAGCACAGGACATTAACATTTAATAAACAAAGTACAGATAGTTACATGAAAAGATCATTATGCAGCTTTATTAGTGTATCAAGGAAATATTAAATATTTAAATGATGACATTTTTCCTCTCAAATTGGTGCTGATGGAGGATTGTCGTTTTATATAAGTTTTTAAAAAAGCCATTGGCTCTCTGTGTTAGACTTTTAAAAAAGTATTCGTATACCTAAACAAGGTTTTCTGTGGTAAAAATTTTATTCTAAAAAATAATCAAAAATGTGTTCATTTTAGGCATAGGGATAGTCATCAAGATATTTCTAATTACATTTAGGATGACTATAAAATCACACAGGGAGATTTTCATGACGTAATTAGAAAAAAATGCAAAACCATATAGTTAATGGAATGACCCCACTATTATACAGGCCTAAGACGATACCCGTTAAATTCTCTACTAAAGAGTATATGGTACTGGAATGGCTGGAGTGCCTGTCGTGAAGCACAGGTGTGCTCCCAGATTTAAAAAGATTAGTAACAGGCAGTGACATCATAGCACTCTTCAGGTAAAAGCGTCACCCTCTGTTTAATATCTAGAAAGTTGTGGCCCCTTAATAACCTGGTAGAGGTTCCATATCTAATGTGTAACTTAGACCCTCTGTCAAGGGCTGGCTGGTCTGTTCTCCACAAGGCAGCGTCAGTCCATGTGGTGATCCTTCTACAGGGTTAAGCTCCAGCTCCCAGACCCCCTCAGCCTCCTCTCAGGATGCACACGAGTCCGCGCCCCGCTCACTTCAGAGGGCCGCCTGGTCACACTGTTCTCAGCCTGGCGGAGGATGCGTGCTGCTTCACTGGAAAGGACCGGGGGGGGGGGGGGGGCGGGCAGGGAGCAGGGTTATTCTTTTCTTTAATAATCAGGCTAGGAAATGGAATTCTTTAAAGGCTCTCTGTTCTGTTTTTTGTTTTTTTAATATATATGTCTTTAGAAAGGAACGTTCCATTTTTCTCTAGAATTCAGAAAGGTAAGCAAAAAATGCAGTGAGAACCTATAAGACATGCCTTAAGAAACCCAGTGCATTGCTTACCATGGTACATGGATCACATCTGGTACCAGGTCATATGGAAAACAAACAACAGCAGGTCTTTTTTAAATACCCCTTTTATTGATGTGTTTGAAAAAAGGATATATCCCCCTGATGTAAAATGAGGTATTTTATTTCAGAATTTTCCATTGGCACCCTCTGTGATATTTATGTTTCTCAGCTTTGTAGGATAAGGGAAAAGTGATGCCTTCTGGTAGTTAAGAGTAGAAACTTCTGTTTAATGAAATAGTTTTAAATTTCAAAGAAATTGCCACCAAATATTTCTAGAATCAAAGTTAATATTATTGGGTGTTGATTTGCTTCTTAGTTGACTGCTTCTTGGGAAAGGTATTCCGTGTTTATTATATTGTGGAGTTAATAAATGCCAACAGATAATTTAAATTCTTGGGCTCAGGACAGAAGTGTTTAGGTGTTGAGGTTATACGCCCTTTCTCTTAATTAATAGGGGGAAAAAACTAGCGGCAGTTTACAAATAGGGATTTATCTCACCATGTGGTAGGCAGCCTTTTAAGGACCTGCTGCATATCTGTATGACTTCGTGTTCATGGGCATTGAATGCTTCCTCATAGGCTGATTTTTAATGAACTGAGTTTGAGGGTTTACTCTTTTAATATTTCTGTTTGTCATCCTATTGGGCCAATTACAGCATACCACAGCCAAGGTGAGATAAGAACTTATCTTCCTGTTTATATATATGTAGTTAGCATGAAATTTATCGAATTCCCCTCATTTATTTCATAACTTTATGATGTTGGTCTCAGCATGGTTGGCTGTGCACGTGAGGAAAGAATTGGAAGCATCAGGGAGCGGCAAGTCCCCAGTAATGTTCTATAAGTATTTAAAGGGGTGATGTGAGCAGATATTGGATTTGAGGATGAATGTTGCAGAACTCTCTTGCATCGTCCAGGTAAAGTACGATTGTAGCTGAGGTTTCGTTCTTTTCACATCTGGGTTTCATGTTGTGAGAACACACATAACTTAAATAGTTCCTGTTCTCATGCCAAGGCTGAGAGCCTTCCATTCCCAGCAGAGAGCAGCCGTCCAGGGCGGTGAGTGTGAAAGCCCTTAGTAACCGCCGCTTGACGCCAGTGAACTCGTTTCTGTGCTCTGTGTGTATGCCCCTTGGTTTCATTATGATGAGTAGCTGGTTCTTGCTGCTGATGAACATTTCAGACACATCAAACACAGTGAGAAATGGTAAGGACAGAGTGCTTAGGTGTTTCTCGTTTCTCAGGTGAAGGTAGCAATGAGCACCTGTTCTGTTTTAATGATTCCTGGCCCCTCTGTTTCTCTGATCAGTAATATCCGCTGTTTCAAGATTGATCAGCCTTCGGCAGGAGATGCTTCTGGAGCTCCAGCCGTGTGGAGCCATGGCTACACCGAAGCTTCAGGGGTGAAAAACAAGTAAGTTGAAACTTTGGGATGAGAACTGCTGCCCGCCCGCCTCCCTGCCATAGCGGGGCAGAAAGAAGCCCCTCACTGGCACAGACTTCCCTATGTCACCTTTATTCCGGCCTGTCTCCCCAGAGGGAGGCCACCACATGACTTAGGTGGGAACGTTAGCTCAGCCCTGCTTGGCATCATATCCTCCCTCTTTGTGAGAGAGGTTGCTAGGAGATGGTGTAACTGACACATTATGTCTCTGTGAGACTCCAGTGTTTGGAGAAGGCGTGAGTATTGAAACGCATCCCCGCTCTTTTGAAAAGCCCCTTTATCTTTCTCTGAAGCCTGTTTACCAAGCAAAACAGGAACAGTATTAAAGCAGCAGAAGTAGCCTTGATTGTCCTTATTCGCGATCCCTTACTGCACTGACAGCATTTTTGTGGAGCTGTCTTTTACAGTCTCAATCAGCTTGTCAGGAGTTTGATGTCCATTCTCTGTAATGTCAGCTGCTTGTCTTGCCTCCAAGTCCTGTCCATCTTAATTCCTTTCTCTTCCCTCTTTTCACCAACCTTCCTTGTCTCACATGCAGATGTTGGTTTCTTGAGAATCGTAATCCTGCTCTTCAGGCTTGCTTTTTATGAAGGGGTGCTGATAATCAGTGCGGGTGAAGAATCCGCCTGCATTGCAGGAGACGTAAGTGTGGCCCCTGGGTCAGGAAGATCCCCTGGAGGAGGGCAGTGGCAACCCACTCCAGTCTTTTTGCCTGAAGAATCCCATGGACAGAGAAGCCTGGTGGGCTGCAGTCCATGGGGTCACACAGAGTCAGATGTGACTGAGCGACTGAGCAGCGGCAGCAGAGAAGCAAAGGCTCCTGTAACTCGGAAGAGGCGTTGTTTCACTAGCGGAGATGTAAGAGCACAAAATGTTCAGAGCGGGCAGGGTGCAGGTGGACAGGAAGTGGAGGACGACCTCATGAAAGCCAACAGCCTTCAACCCGAGTTGCCCATGAGAATCAACCAGGCGAGGAGCTTTAAAGAGCATTCTCCCGCTGAGGACCGTTAAATCAGGACACTTTAAAATCTCCCCCAGGCGACTCTTAACGGGCATCCAGGACTGAGGCCTGCTGGCTATCTTTCCTTCATGGAAAGTAAAAGGTGGAACTATGGTTGCCGTGCTGACTGCTTTTCCTTGGGTCAGAAAACAGAACGGAAGTCACACTGTGGGTCTGACACGTCCATCCCCTCCTCTCTCCCTGGGAGTGTGACAGGTATGTTAGAGGAGACGCACACTCCATTTATCACGTTAGGAAAGTCCCTTCTGTTCCTAGTTTGCTAAGAGTTTTCATAATGTGTATCAGATTTTTTGTCATAGGCTTTTTCTTCATCAGTTGAGGTGATCACTTTTTTTTCCTGTCTTAGTTGAGATCATGAATTGTATTGATTTTAAAATGTGGAATCCGCCATGCATTTTCAGCATAAGTTTCATGTGGTCATGATGTATTACCTTTTTATATTCTGCTGGGCTCAGTTTTCTACTAATTTGTTGATCATGTCTGTATTCACAGTAATTTTTCTCTTGTGGTGTCTGATTTTGATATCAGGGTGATGCTGGCCTCACCTCATAAACTGAGTTGAGGAGTATTTTGTCTTCAGGATTCTGCAGTCTTCTGGAAGAGTTTCTATAGCCTTGATATTATTTCTTCCTAAATTTTTGGTAGTATTTGCCAATGAATTCCACCTGGACCTGGAGTTTTCTTTGGTTTATAACTAAATATATGATTTCTTTAGTATAGGATTATCTCTCTCTTCTTGAATGAACTTTAGTAATTTGTGTCTGTCAAAGAATTTACCCATTTTCATCTAGTTTTCAAATGTATTGGCCATCAGTCAGTCAGTCAGTTCACTCAGTCGTGTCCAACTCTTTGTGACCCCATGAATTGCAGCACACCAGGCCTCCCTGTCCATCACCAGCTCCCGGAATTTACTCAGACTCATGCTCATCGAGTCAGTGATGCCATCCAGCCATCTCATCCTCGGTCGTCCTCTTCTCCTCCTGCCCCCAAACCCTCCCAGCATCAGGGTCTTTTCAGATGAGTCAGCTCTTTGCATCTGGTGGCCAAAGTATTGGAGTTTCAGCTTCAGCATCAGTCCTTCCAATGAACACAAAGGACTGATCTCCTTTAGGATGGACTGGTTGGATCTCCTTGCAGTCCAAGGGACTCTCAAGAGTCTTCTCCAACACCATAGTTCAAAAGCATCAATTTTTTGGTGCTCAGCTTTCTTCACAGTCCAACTCTCAACATCCATATATGACCACTGGAAAAACCATAGCCTTGACCAGATGGACCTTTGTTGGCAAAGTAACGTCTCTGCTTTTAAATATGCTATCTAGGTTGGTCATAACTTTCCTTCCAAGGAGTAAGCATCTTTTAATTTCATGGCTGCAGTCACCATCTGCAGTGATTTTGGATTCCATAAAAATAAAGTCTGACACTGTTTCCACTGTCTCCCCATCTATTTCCCATGAGGTGATGGGACCAGATGCCATGATCTTAGTTTTCTGATTGTTAAGCTTTAAGCCAACTTTTTCACTCTCCTCTTTCACTTTCATCAAGAGGCTCTTTAGTTCCTCTTCGCTCTCTTTCATAAGGATGGTGTCATCTGCATATCTGAGGTTATTGATATTTCTCCCGGCAATCTTGATTCCAGCTTGTGCTTCTTCCAGTCCAGCGTTTCTCATGATGTACTCTGCATATAAGTTAAATAAGCAGGGTGACAATATACAGCCCTGACATACTCCTTTTCCTATTTGGAAACAGTCTGTTGTCCCATGTCCAGTTTTAACTGTTGCTTCCTGACCTGCATACAGGTTTCTCAAGAGGCAGGTCAGGTGGTCTGGTATTCCCATCTCTTGAAGAATTTTCCACAGTTTATTGTGATCCACAGAGTGGAAGGCTTTGGCGTAGTCAGTAAAGAAGAAATAGATATTTTTCTGGAACTCTCTTGCTTTTTCGATGTTGGCAATTTGATCTCTGGTCCCTCTGCCTTTTCTAAAACCAGCTTGAACATCTGGAAGTTCACAGTTCACGTATTGCTGAAGCCTGGCTTGGAGAATTTTCTTGAAGAGATCTCTAGTCTTTCCCATTCTGTTGTTTTCCTCTGTTTCTTTGCATTGATCACTGAGGAAGGCTTATCTCTCCTTGCTATTCTTTGGAACTCTGCATTCAAATGGGTGTATCTTTCCTTTTCCTTTGCTTTTCGCTTCTCTTCTTTTCACAGCTATTTGTAAGGCCTCCTCAGACATTGGCTATAATATACCATTATTCTCCTTTTACTATCTGTAGGATCTGTAGTAATGTCTCTCCCTTCTCTCTTGATATACTTATCATTTGTCTTTTTATCCTGATCAAATTGGTTTCAGGTCTATCAGTTTTATTGATAATTCTCAAGGAACCAGCTTTTGGTTTCATTGAATTTTTTTGTTGTTGTTTTCTTTCTGTTTTCTATTTCATTGACTTCTGCTCTTATTTTTATTATTATCTGCTTGTTTAGATTTATTGTGCTTATGAATTTCTAGCTTCTTAAGGTATAAGTTTGGGTCACTGATTTGAGCTTAGGGTATTAATATTCTAAGCATTTAGAGCTATAAATTTCCTCCTAGGCAGTTTTCCCAGTGTGGTTGGAGAACATACTTTGAATCACTTGAATCTATTAAAATTATTAAGACATTTTCTGGCCCAAAATATGTTTATTATGGTAAATATTTTGTGTGCATTTGAAAAAAAATTGGGTACGTTGTTATTTAGATCAAGTCTGTTGAAAATGTTGTTCAAGCTTTGACTGTCCTTACTGATTTTCTGTCTACTTTTCTGTCAGTGCCTGAGAGACTGTAATTACAGGCTTGTCTGTTTCTCCTTGTGATTCTCTTAGTTTTTGCTTCATGTATTTCAAAGCTCTGTTATTAAGTGCATAAACATTTAGAATGTTACAGTCTTGTGATGAACTGACCCTTTAATCACTATAAAATAACTATTTCTGTAATGTTCTTCATGCTGAAATATATTTTGTCTGATATTAATGTAACTACTCTAGCTTCCTTTTGTTTAGTGTTAGCATAGTATAGTTGACCCGTCAACTACTTCAGATTAAGAGGCACCAACCAACCATCAGAAATCCATGCATCGCTTTACAGTTAGCCCTTTATATCCAAGGTTCCACATTTGCAGAGATTGTATTAGAGGGGAAAAAAATTAACACATAAGTGGACCTATGCAGTTTAAACCTGTGTTGTTTAGGGGGCCAGTGTATATCATTTCTAATCCTTTTTGCTTTTAACCTATTTGTCTCTTTATGTTTAAAGTATATTTCTTATAAGCAGCATATGGTTAAGTCTTACTTTTTAATATAATTTGAATCTTTTTGGGTAGTGTCTAGACCATTTTTATATTTAATAAAATACTGATGTGGTTAGGTTTAAATCTGCCAGTTTAATAATATTTGTCTTCTGTTTGTCTCATCTGTTCTTGATTCTTGTTTTCTTCATTCTTTTGGGTTATTTCTTATTCCTTGTTATCTCTTGTATTTGTCCTCATGGGTTCTACTCTGTGTGTGTGTGGTTTGTTTCGGGTCTGTAGTATAACCTTGACCTTATTCATTACGGTTTACCTTCGAGTAGTAGCATCCTTTCATATGTGTGATAAGAAGCTTACGTTGTGTATTTCCACTTTCCCCTCCTCGTCTTTGTGCCATTATTGTCACGTTTTATACTTCTGCTTTTGTTATAAACCCCAGGATACATTATTATAATTTTTATTTTAAAGTTATTTCCCATAGTATTTCTCAACTTCAATATTAGTGACATTTTGAGCCAGATAATTATTTGTTGTTGGAGAGCAGGGGAGGGACGGGGTGTCCTCTGCATTTTAGGATATTTAGCAGCACCCTCGACTCTACCCCCTAGATGCCAATATCAACACCATCCCAGTCATTACAAGCAAAGATGACTCCAGGGGGCAGAATGTCCCCTGCTGAGAACCACTGTTTTGTCCTTTCATTTGTGTTTTGGCTGCACCCTGCAGCATGTGGGATCCTGGTTCCGCAATGAGGGGTCAAGCCTGTGCCCCCCATAGTGAAGGCGTCAAGTCTTAACATGGACTGCCAGGGAAGTCCCGAGAACCACTGTCCTAACGTGATTTTTAAAATAAGAGAAAGAAAACGTTTACATGTACTAACCTCTTTGTCATTTCCGACGCACTCCATTCTTTTGTGTAGAGCAAGACTTCCATCTGGTAGGGCCATTTTCTTCTGCTCCGCCTATTTCCTATTTCTTGTAGTGCCGTCTTTTTGTGTGTGCATCTGAAAATGTCTGTTTTGCACCTTCACTTTCGGAAGCTGTTCTCACTGTTTAGAAAGCAAGGGTGACGGTCTTTCTGTGAGTCCTTGAAGACGCTGCTGCCCGTCCTCCGCCTCCCGCACAGTTTCTGACAAGATCTCTGCCATCTCTGCTGTTGCACAGGGGGTGTGCTGTCCCTCTGCCCCCACCCCCACCTTCATCCCTGCTTTTCAGCAGTTTGATGTGCCTCAGTTAAACTTTTTTTACTTGCTTTCGCTTGCTGTTTGTTGAGCTTCTTGTCATTTTCATCAGATTTGAATATTTTTATCTATTAATTCTTCAAAATGTTTTTCCGCCTGTCTCTCTTCTCTTCTGAAGACTCCAGTTCCCTGTGTGTTAGGCTGCCTGAAGCCATCTCCCCACTTACTAATGCCATGGCTTTTCGTTTCTCCCTGGCGCTGCCCATTTTGGAGCGTGTGTGGGACACGGAGCCCCACGGACGCAGCCTAAGTGGAAGGACTGCGGGTCCCCCGAGCGCCGCGTGTGGCCCTCCCCCCGCTGGTGTGCACGTTTCCCTTCCTCTTCCCAGTGTTTCAGTGGTGACTCCGTTTTTGCTCCTTGTGGAAGTTTTCCTTAATAAACGTTTTGTGAACGAATGTGGACATATGCATTTATAATCTGGTGTTATTCCCCATGCCTCTTACGGTCTTTCTTTCAGTGCTATTTAAAAATAAAATCATCAGAAGAAAAGAGTGGGGGAAAGCTATGAAGCATAAATATGTGCTCATTTTCCTTCACTTACAGAGATTAGTTGATGTAAATTAGCTGGGGTTTAGTCTTGTTGTTGTTCAGTCACTGAGTCATGTCCAGCTCTTTGCCACATCATGAGCTACAGCACACCAGGCTCCTCTTCTCCTTTATTTTCCAGAGTTTGCTCAAATTCATGTCCATTGAGTTGGTGATGCTATCTAACCATCTCATCCTCTGACACCTGCTTCTCCATTTGCCTTCAGTCTTTCCCAGCATCAGGGTCTTTTCTAATGAGTTGGCTCTTCATATCAAGTAGCCAAAGTATTACCTATTCTTAATCTACTCAGAGTCACGAAGAAAGAGACAAGACTGGATTAAGCAAATGGGAGAAGAACCACAGTTGGGTTGGGCATGGAGAAGAAAAGATGAGTTGACTCAGCACAGAAGCATGTTTGCTTTGCAGGTTGTGTGTTGCGGCCCTGTCGGTGAACAACTTCTGTGACAACCGGGAGGCCCTGTATGGTGTGTTTGACGGAGACCGCAATGTGGAAGTGCCCTACCTTCTCCAGTGCACCATGAGTGACATTTTGGCAGAAGAGCTGCAGAAAACAAAGAACGAAGAAGAATACATGGTCAACACGTTCATCGTTATGCAAAGGTAAAACTTAGAGCACCTGCTGTGGGCTTTCTTCTTCTTGTTCGTGATCAAATTTTAAAAGGCCAGGAGGTAAGTCATTCTTCAGATGGGGTGTGTGTGTGCGCGCATGTGCATGCGTGTGCTCAGTCGTGTCCAACTCTCTGCAGCTCCATGGACTGTACAGCCCACCAGGCTCCTCTGTCCATAGGGTTTCCCAGGCAAAAATACTGAAGTGGGTTAACCATTCCCTCCTCCAGGGGATCTTCCCAACCCAGGGATCAAACCCATGTCTCTTGCATATCCTGCATTGGCAGGCGGATTCTTTACCACTGAGCCACCTGGGAAGCCCTGTTCAAGACAGTGTTACTAGAAGAATCATAGGCCTTTCCCTAGAGATTCTGGTCACCATGGAAGTTGTGGAATGTTGTTTCTAATTCTGAGGGCTGAATGTCATAAGTATTCCCACATTCAAAGCCTTGCTCACTCTTTGTCACTCTGAAGGCTTTGTAGGTTGTGAAGGCGTGCCTGTTGGTATTGCACTGCAAACATTTGCTCCTGTGGGACCAGGAAGCAGAGAGCGCTTCAGAGGTCATGGGAACAGTGACGACCTTTTCTGCTCCTCTTCTTTTTCTCTCCCTTGATAATCTGCCAGAGGAAATACTTTGCGGCAGGGCTAGAAAAAGTGTCCTCTGAGGAATGCTGCCCCAGAGAAGCCTTGACAGTTCCGCCAGGCATGAGGACTCCTGGAGAGCTCAGTAGAGGCGTCCCAGTGAGGTTCTGTGCCACAGCTCACCTCGGTGGGCATGTGCAGTTAATAAGCGATGCTGATAACAGCTAATGGTTAGTGAGCCCTTAATATATACCAGTCATTGTTCCAAGTGCCTTAATGCCGAGAGGTGTGAGACAGGGACGTCTGTCTGCACAACTATCTACTTTTCTGTTCTGACCACCATCTTGTTTCAGACTGTTCACACAGCCCAAAGAGGCCTGCTCTTTATGGACCCCAAGTACTGGGTCAGAGTTAGGAACTTGAGACCCTCAAACCCTGGTCACTGGCTGCACTTCCCCCAGATACAGCCTGAGCTGTGGCTTGGCTGGCAGAGTCACGGCCTCTGACAGCAGGGAAGCCGTGCTGCCTTGGCGGAGTCTGGAGCCAACGGCCTAGACGTGCCCGAGCTGGGGTCCGGAGGCCCCCGCCATCCGCCTGTCTTCGAGTCACTTCCTGCCTCATTTTCCCTGTGGGTTAGTGGGATACAGGGCGTGTGGTGATGCTCACAGTCCTTGCGAGAAGCGTGTATCTGCTCTGCCAGCATCCTGATGCCTGTGATCAGGCCGCCCTTGTTCCCATCCTTGGTGACCCCGGCCTGACCTACAGGGTCTGCCCTCGTGAACAGTGGGGTCCGTCCATCCGGCCCTCCCTGCTCCTGCCATGCCCAGGCTCAGAATGGAGGCTCTGCCAGCCTCAGGCCTTGCTGGCAGGGGTCTGAGCGCCTTTTGATTGCCAACACTTGCAGGTGTCTTGTGTATTCAGTGCGTGATGAACTCATGGCAAGTAAGAGCACTTTGGAGCCCGTCATTAGATGGTCTTTTCTGTAAATATTTGAGGATAGACCTCATTCCTCCAGGGAGTCGCACTGTGTAGGACCATTACGTGAAACCCAGTGCATGAAGGCTCCTGCCCGCAAGCAGCCTGTGGGAGAGGGGTGATCAGCCGTTCTGATGCGTCGGTGGGTGTTCATGCCTGCTCCTGTGTGGTGGTTCCCGGTCCTTCTCAGGACCAGAGGGGTGGGGGAGACACGGCTGCCCCCACTGGTTTGGCCATGCTGATTCGGGCGCCGCAGGCCACACCGAGCCGGGAGAGGGCTCTTCATCCCTCAGTGGCTCCTCGGCTTTGCATGGCGGAGCGGCACCGCCCAGCTGGGAGCAGACCCCACATGTGTGCCCATGTGTGCATCCAGTCTCACGGGCTCTTCCCCCAAGCTCTACTTCCCTGTCCCGTGGGGCCGTCTGGCAGCGGTGTGGGCTCTCAGCACTGTCTCTGTATTCCAGGAAGCTGGGCACAGCCGGGCAGAAACTCGGAGGCGCTGCCGTCCTTTGTCACATCAGGCATGACCCTGTGGACCCGGGAGGACCCTTCACCCTGACCTCCGCCAACGTGGGCAAGTGCCAGACGGTGCTGTGTCGGAACGGCAAGCCGCTGCCCCTGTCCAGGTCGTATGTCATGAGCTGCGAGGAGGAGCTGAGGAGGATCAAACGGTACAAGGCCATCGTCACCGAGGTGAGAGGGCGTCTTCCTCGGTGGGGGGCGGGGGGGGAGGAAGACCGGGAGGAGGCGGCTGAGACCGGCTGGGGAGCATCTCCCTCAGCGTCCTGTAAACACCAAAGCTGAGCCGAGATTCCAGATCCGAATCCATAGCATCACAGACCAGACTCTGTGTGTGATGTGTCTGGGACATTATAACGTCCAGAATACAGAACAGGGCCAAAGGCCTCTCCGCATCGGAGCCATCTGTTCCTCAGGTGCCCGCAGTGGGGCTCAGGTCTGGCGGCCTCTCTGCATCAGGGCGGGCACCTGGTGGCCTCTCCACGTCAGGGCAGGCGGTCAGCCCATCTCCTTCTCAGGGCGCCCGCAGAGGGGCTCAGGCCCAGCGGCCTCTCCACATTAGGGCGGGCGCCTGCCGGCCTCTCCACCTAGGAGCCAGGCGGTCACCCCATCTCCTCCTCAGGGCACCCGCAGAGGGGCTCAGGCCCAGCGACCTCTCCACAGCAGGGCGGGCAGTCACCCCGTCCCCTCCTTGGGGCACCCGCAGTGGGGTTCAGGCCCCACAGAGGTCACACTGCCCGCCCTCCTGTCTTCCTGGCTCTGGTGCCTGCAGGCCGTGACCTTTCAACCTAACACCTCGGTGCCCTCCTGGGTGAAGTGGGTGTGGTGAGGCCTCCCAAGGCCAGTATACCTATCAGTGTGAACTAACGAGTTGTTACTTCAGCTCGTGACTCCTGCTGCACTCGGGTAAGGCGGTAAGGGGCTCTTACCAGGGGCCATTCCCCGGTCAACACCGTGGGCACTTGGTAATGTCCGAGGACATTTTTGTTGTCACAACTGGGGTGGAGAGTGCGTGCTTTTGGCACCTAGCCTGTAGAAGCCCGTAGATGTGCGTGCGTGATAGTCACTCAGTCACGTCTGACTGTCTGTGACCCCATGGACTGTAGCCCGCCAGGCCTCTCTGTCTCACGGATTCTCCAGGAGTGGGTTGCCGTTTCCTTGTCCAGGGGGTCTTCCCGACCCAGGGATCGAACCCTGGTTTCTCCCCGCATTGCAGGCGGATTCTTAACCATCTGAGCCACCAGGGAAGCCCAGGTAGAAGCCAGGGATGCTGCTGAGCCCCCCACCGTACGGGCCGGCCCCTCTGAGCCCCGCACAGTGTGGGCCGGCCCCTCTGAGCCTCCCACGGTGCAGGGCGGCCCCACAGCACAGTCTGTGGCCCAGAAGGTCCGAGTGCTGCTGCTGAGAAAAGCCGTCGGGCTGCGGCACAGCCTCCAGAATGGGCTGGAAGAGCTGGGCTCCATTCACACATTCATCCAGCAGTGTGGGTCACCTCTGTGTGCCGGAAATGGATGGGTGCTGTCGACATGATTCCCGTGTAGACGCACATCTACCCACAGGAGGTGTCCAGCCTCATCTCGTCGATAAAGCCTGAGGAGCCATGTGACGCGCAGGTGGACCATGGTGGAGGTCTGCAGTCGGCAGAGAAAGACTGACTCCAGGACGGCTCCGACCAGGGCCATGAGGAAGATCTCCTGTGGGAGTCTGGGAAAGGAGTCTGCCTGTCGAGTCCAGTCCCCTTCCCGTTCTAAGAACAGAGAGGACTAAGGTGGACACTAGATACCATGTAGGGAGTCTCAGATGGGAGTGTGTTAGATTATTACCTGTGTATTGAATTCCGTGCTCAACAGTACACGGTGCGGAGATTAACCATTTCCACTGAAGAACTTGAAGAATAAAGAACCAAGCAGGTACATCATGGGCTCCTCGCTCCAGCCTCGGAGTAAAAGCTTTTCACTGGCAAACTGTGAAGTTTTAGTTCACAGTTCAGATGGTGGGAACCCAGCTGGACTGAAGCGGGAGGTGTCATCGTCTGCATTTGCTGCCAGGAAAGTCAGCTCAGGGGTGACAGGAGCCGCCTTTCTCGTGGAATACGTGTCTGCCTCTCCAAACACCTCACTCCTCCCCGCCCAGTCTCACCGCGGTTTCCCCAGCAGTTTGTTTCAGCCTCAAGTTCAAAACTGCTCACTTCTGAACCTTCCCGCGCTACGCCTGCTGGTTGCTGGGCTGTGGGCAGCGGTCTGAGATGGGGGCCATCACACTGAATTGCACCTGCCTGGGAGCGTCTGCCGCCCCTGGCTGGCTCAGCAGGCCCTTCCTCTCTGGACCCCTGTGCATTCCCAGAGATGCTGATCAGCCCCTGTTGCTGACTCAGCCAGGTGACCGTGTGCTTTGGAGCAGACAGGTCCCAACACAGGGAATGCATGAAGCGCTTTCACGGTCCCTCCTGCTCCCTGCCTGCCGCGGGCTTCTGCCCTGGGTTCTGATGACAGGTGGCCGGGAGCCCCTCCCAGGAGGTGGACAGGCCTGCAGGGCAGGCAGGCCCCGGAGCTTCCCCCATGCAGGAGCCCCGCCCCCCAGCTCTCGGTGGTAACGTCTGCTTGGCAACCCCTCTCTTTCCAGGACGGCAAAGTGAACGGAGTGACCGAGTCCACGCGCATCCTGGGCTACACCTTCTTGCACCCCAGCGTGGTGCCCCGCCCACACGTGCAGTCCGTGGCCTTGAGCCCGCAGGACGAGTTCTTCATCCTGGGCAGCAAGGGGCTTTGGGACAGCCTGTCCGTGGAGGAGGCCGTGGGCGCTGCGCGCAGCGTGCCTGACGCGCTGGCCGCGGCCAAGAAGCTCTGCACCCTGGCGCAGAGCTACGGCTGCCGCGAGAGTGTCAGCGCGGTGGTCGTGCAGCTCAGCGTTCCCGAGGACAGCTTCTGTTGCTGCGAGCTGGCCGCTGCCGCCACCCTGCCGCCACCCAGCCCCAGTGTCTTCACGCCGGCCTCTGGTGTGGCTGTCCGGGAGCGGCCAGCTGACGGGCTGGGTGCGCCATCCTCCAGCAGCGGCCTGGCCTCCGAGATGAGCAGCGAGCTGTCCACGTCGGAGATGAGCAGCGAGGTGGGCTCCACGGCCTCTGATGAGCCGCCGCCACCAGGCGTGCTGGGCGAGGGCAGCCCCGCCGGCCCCTGCGAGCCCCGCTGCGCGCTGCACCCCGGCAGCACGTCCGGCGCCTTCCAGCGGCAGCTGTCCAGCGCCACCTTCTCCAGCGCCTTCTCGGACAACGGGCTGGACAGCGACGATGAGGAGCCCATCGAGGGCGTGTTCAGCAACGGCAGCCGCGTGGAGGTGGCGGTGGACATCCACTGCGGCCGCGCCAGGGACGGGGAGCGCCGGCGGCCGCCCGCGCCCGGCCCACCGCCCGAGGCCGCCGACGAGGGCGCGGGTGCCGCGGAGGACGAGCCGTGCGCGGCGCGGCGCGCGGACGGGGCCGCGGGGACCATGGGGCGCCGGCGGGGAAACGGCTCCGTGGCCCCCCAGGAGCGCAGCCACAACGTGATCGAGGTGGCCACCGACGCGCCACTGCGTAGGCCGGGCGGATACTTTGCGGCCCCAGCGCAGCCCGACCCGGACGACCAGTTCATCATCCCCCCGGAGCTGGAGGAGGAGGTGAAGGAGATGATGAAGCAGCGGCCTCCTGCGCCGCCACGCCCGGGCCCGGCGGAGCCTGCGGACTGCTGCTGCGACACTCCGCTCTGACCCGGCCCGGGCCCCGCAGACCAGGGCCGCCCGCCGGCTTCAGACGGCTCCGCTGTCTGCAGGCCCCCCTTCTGTTGGCCGTTTAAAAAAATAATAATTACCACTTTTCTTCTAGTGATGCTTTACCCGTATGATTTCAATTTGTTAACCTCTTCCCCTAACATATCAGATGTGTAAAGACGAAGAACAAAAGGTTTAATATATTACAGAGAAACAGTTAATGTAATGTTTTTTAAAATGGCTTTTTTGTTGTTCTGTTTGTGTGGAAGGCAGGGCAGGTTGCCAGTGCTTAAATGATTTAATAATAATGTAATTCTTTATTTGTGGGGGGAAGACATTTTCTCTTTTTTTTTTTTTTTGTCTTGAAAATGATAGACATTTGTAGAATATGGAGACTAACTCCTAGGAGTTGTTTTACTCTGTCAGGTGACTGAAGTCACTGGGATTCACTAATTTTCTCTGAGAGAACCGTTGATTGAGAAATTTCTATTGTAAATAGCTCCATGTTGTATAGTGATGCTTCAGAATTTCGTAGCTTTGGCGTAAGGGACACAGACTGAACAGCTGATTCCCGGTGTCCCCCCCCCCCCCACACCCACAGGGTCTCCCACTGATGCGCCTGAGCCCTGCTGAGGGCACTGGAAGGGACCTGCCCCCAGGGGCTGCTGACCCGCCCCTCCTCCTCCTCCTGTTCCCGCCCAGCCCCTTCCTTTTGCAGACACTTTTTAACTGTGTTCCTTACTGCTGCCACAATCAGCATGATTGTGTAAGCATTCAGTTAGATCCTTTACATACCGAGAGTTATATTAAAGCAGAATGCACAAATGAACATGTCATAATTTTGGTATAATAAATATAAAATTTACAAGTCCCGGACCCATCTGCTTTTGTCTGGGGAGCCAGGTGTGTCTTGCAGATGATCACGCCCAGCTTGGGTTTGGAATGAATGCATGTAACTTTGGGGTTATCTGGTGCTTCTGTCTTTTTTTCTTGTGAAGAAAAAAATAACCCAACAGGTTAAACTACCTTGAATGAAGGTAGTGAAATCCACCCTGTAGTTAACAATATGTGTAGCTGGTTTACAGCATTTCTATTTCTGGTTGTTACTGTGTAACATATAGATATTAAAAGGGGAATAGATAAGGTTGCATAGAGGAGATCCCAGGAAAATCCCACAAAGCCAAGTCTGTTTCCCTTTCTCTCAGAGGCCCCTCAATCATGTGAACCAGTTAGCTGACTTTTTTTTTTAATTGGATATAGTTGTTCTTTTTTACATTGGAGTATAATTGATGAAGAGTGCACATACAGAGTGAAAGTCCAGAGCTGACTGCCTCACTCTGCACCCCTCGCAAGAACAGTGTGCGTGCAGTGGGGTCCTCTAGGGGGTCCCACGCTCCTGTTGGCTTCCTGGCCCCACTTACAAATGGCAGCGTCTCACTCTGCATCTGTGACCCATGTGTTAGAGATGCTGTAGATCTTCGCTATATCTCATGTGGAGCAGCTTTGCAGGTAGAATGGTTTCCCTTCTTCAGTTCTGCCTTCCAGAGGGGTACCTGGCAGGTTCAGTAACAGAACACAGCAACTAGTCTCTCTTGTAGATTCAGTAACGGGCTGTCCGTCCCCTCTCTAGGTGGCCAGATGGGTGGACCCCTCCTTGTCTTGGTGATGCCCGTTCTTCACTCCATGTTGGGCTACTTGTACAGTGTGCAAACCTCTACGATGGTGGAAGAAGACTGAGCTCATCTCAGCCTGTAAGTGTGGCTTCCCAGGTGGCGCTTGTGGTTAAGAACCCGCCTGCCATGCAGGAGACATAGAGACATGGGCTCCATCGCTGGGTGGGGAAGATCCCCTGGAGGAGGGCATGGCGACCCACTCCAGTATTCTTGCCTGGAGCATCCCATGGACAGAAGAGCCTGGCGGGCTACAGCCCATGGGTCACAAAGAGTCAGACATGACTGAAGTGAGTTGACTTGGCACACGCCCAGCCCCACAAGGGGTCAGTGACCGAGAGCGGAGACTGCTGAAACACAGGCAGGGCTCCACTTTAGACCGGAAGCAAGGCCGGCTCGGGACCCCGCGCCCCGCCCGCTCGCCAGCATCTGGCCCGCCCATCTTCCTGCTGCTCCGGGCAGATTTGAGCAGACCGGGAGGCTCAGCATTCTCACCTCCCTCATCAGTCCGTCTGGAAGTTCCCGTCCGCTCTCTGACTCCTTAGTCCTGGAACCCCCTGCGGGCAGGGCTCATCGGTCGCCTTGTGTGGCCCCTGCCCCAGACAGGCCGTGTGGACCCCATTCTTCCACAGCTCACCTCCAGAGGAGCCCACACTTCCGCCCCGAGCAGGGCCAGCAGAGGCAGCATGACCTGGGGGTCCACAGAGGGTCCCTGGCAGCTGCTTGTGCCAGAGACCAGCCACTGGGACCAGCGAAGCCATGCCCCGACCTCTGCGACTGACGGGGAGACGGGGCGCAGGCATGTCGTGGCTGTTTCCCCAAGACCGGCAGCTCAGGGCGCACTTGCTTCTAGTTCATTATCCCAGCAAGTCCCGCTGTCCACTCGCCACACGTAAGACTCTGGAGATGAAGGACAAGACTTTGCCCTTGGGGAGTGTGGGGCCAATAGTGAGTGAGTAAAAGAGGCCAGTGGGCGCAGGGGTCCTGTTCGGCCTCTTTGCTCTTCCCCGGGAGCCGCCTGAGGGGCCTTCACTGCGGCCCACTGAGGTGAAAGTGAAGTCACTCAGTCGTGCCCAACTCTGCGACCCCATGAACTGAACCCCCCCGGGCTCCTCCGTCCATGGGATTCCCCAGGCAAGAGCACTGGAGTGGGTGCCAGGCCCTCCTCCAGGGGATCTTCCTGACCCAGGGATCAAACCCGGGTCTCCTGCATTGCAGGCAGATTCTTTACCCTCTGAGCCACCAGGGAAGCTCACCCAGGTAGCGTGTAATACGTATGTAGAGCTGCTCATAAAGCTGGAAAGCACTTAGTATTTGGAGATTCCCCAAAGCCACGGGATCTCCAGGATGAGTGTGAGGGACACGGGCTCCACCTGCCCCCCCGACTCCCTCCTTCCTCTGGGAAGGCCAGAAAATGGGAAAGGACTGCGGAGCTCCAGCGAGGCCGGGGCCTTGCTGACACACTCAGAGCCCCCACTGAGGATCCCGGGAGTCGCGGGTGTGGCTCAGCATCGGGGGTGCCCGCCGTGGCTTCCCCAAGGGCACAGGCACCCTGACACTCAACCATCAGACCCGGCTTCTCTCGACGGCTTTGTTGCAGCGCCACCTGCTGGTGAGACTAGACCTGGATGGAAATGGGCATGCCTCCCTTCTTTCTCCGTCTTTCACTCTTCCAGAAGAAACAGTTGGGGTCCCTCCTAGACCTGAGACAGAAAGCACTCCCAAGCACTGTGGCGTAGTCAGCGAAGCCATGTTGCTGTTCCCCACGGAGTTCTGCTCTGTAAGGTGGAAGGTTGACGACTGGTTCCTGTGATGAGCACTGTTTTTTTCTGGGAAACCAACGTGCAGGCATATCAAGAGGTGTAACAGGAATTAACCTGGGACAGAGGAAGTCAGTCTCCAGCATCCATCTAATCCTCTGTTCCTCATGGTGGAGAAGGGGCTTCCCTGGGCTCAGCTGGTAAAGAATCCACCTGCAGTGCAGGAGACCTGGGTTCGACCCCTGGGTTGGGAAGATCCCCTGCAGAAGGGAACGATACCCACTCCAGCATTCTGGCCTGGAGAATTCCATGGACTGTGTAATCCATGAGGTCGCAGAGAGTTGGACACGACTGAGCGACTTTCACTTAGATGGTGAAAAATAAATAAAAACTGTAATACACTTTGGATCTAATAGGATTGTACCTGAGAGTGAGCTCATTGCTGACACTGCCCAGTAGGGAGATAAGAACAATTCCCATGGGAACCTCATCAGAAGGCATTTTGGATTCCCATGGACACGTCAGGAAATAGAATTTTTGTAAAGGGTGAGGGTTATGGTATCTGCCCTCCCTATCTCCCCATGGTCAAATCAGGTAATCTGTAGATAGATAGTAGCACCTTATGTAAGTGGAAGCGTTGTCTTGTTGTAAACGAACACCTAAGGGTGGTCAGAGAGAACATAATTGGGGACACAGCAAAATGCTTTTTTAAATTAAAATTTCCTAGAGAAAAATAAAACTAGAGAAATATCTGTTGGAACTGTCACAGGAGGGAGGGATGTGGTAATGGTACAAAAGGAAGGTTTTCTCATTTCTTGCCACTGAATTTCATTTTCTTTCAATTTATCCCCCAAAAGGCATTTTGGGCAAATGAATCTACACTCACCTTATTTCACTGTTGCTGTTGACCTGCCGTGAACTGACTCCTACCACTGCAGAGTCAGAAGATTGCTCTAAAGGTTGTCCCCCCATCCGAGCTTTACCAAAATTGCAGCCAAGTTCAGACTTAGCTTGGCAAATCCACTGCCCTGATCAGTAACAAAGTAGGGAACTCCAGCGAGCAGACAAAGCTCTGGGCGATGACAGGAAGCGCGCTCCTCAACCATCTCACTGCCCGGTTCTCCACGTCTGTTCACGCCACACGTTCAGGAAGCGCAGGGGACCACCGCGTGCTCAGCCCTGGGCCCCCCACCTGGGGCCCATGAATGCAGGGGGCTGGGGTGCCCAAATGGCCGTCTGACACCCTGCAGTCATGGTCTCAACCAGTTGAGGGTGAGTTTGGGCCCTGTGTGTTGGCCACTGCCTTCCTGAGGACTGAAGCTGCACCTTCAACGGCAGAACGGGGGCCAAGGGGGTCCCAGGCCGCTTTCCGTCTCCTGGCCGTGTGGTTGCGTAGAAAGCCACACTGCACCCTGCCCTGGGTTAAGGACACAGACACAAGTGTTACTTTTGTTGGGTTCCAGTTCATTATGCTTTCATTTTCTTCTAGATCAGAAACACAATGCTCTATTCTGTTCAAACAGGAACGGCAGAACCTGGAGAATCCTCTCCATCTGCCTGTGACTAGAGCTGCTCCCATTGTGATTCCTCTCTTTTTCTAAAGCCACGGAAGTAAAACTGGCTTCAGACTGAATTTCAAGTACTTTCTAGTCATTACTGTGGTCTTATTCCAATAAACTGAACTTCCCCCTAATTCGTGCTCTTATCTATTGGAGGGAAGTTGAAATGGCAGCTCGGATCATTTCCTAAATGGGGCACCTCCAACTGTTGTCTTTTCCTGAACTCGTTTACAGGTCATTTGCTTTTCTGCGTCTTTAGAAAAACTGCTTTGCAGTTAACATTTGGAGGTTCTTGAGTCAGTTTTACACGTAAAAGAGGTTGCCATGTCACCCAGGAATAAACTGCACACAAAATGAAGTCTCTTGTTTGTCTGATGGTCAATACATCTTAAGAACTCTTCAAACACTCCTTTCCCTAGAGCATTTCAGTAGGTTTATGATGGCTCACTGAGAAGGGTCCCGCCCCGGGCACCCTAAGCACAGTCATTCACACTTTTTCCTCGGGAGATGAAACCACCCTCTGTCCCAGGTAAAGCCACAGGACTTTCTCCCCTAGAAACCTCATTAAGCATGTATGACAATGCTGTCTGCGTATCATTTGTGTATAGTCTTCCTTTTAACGTTTTTACAAGTCCTCTGCTTTTCAAATTGAAAAGTCTCATCACAGCACTAGCCTGGCAGTCCCATGGTCAGGGTTCTGTGTGTCCACTGCAGGGGGCGGATGCAAGTTCGATGCCTGGGCGGGGAAGTAAGGTCCCGCATGCTGGGTGTCACAGCCAAAAAAACCCATGGCGTTCCTTGGATTGTAACCTGTGGGGTTTTGGTTTTTTTCTCCTTTTCCGTTGTCAATACATGCTCTGAAGGATGAGATGCTGTGTACTGGGGGAGGAAAAGGCAGTGGGCAGGCGGCCCGAGCCCGCCAGCATGGCCTGCGTGGCAGCCCTCTCGATACCGGAAGCCGGGCTGAGCACCTTGTAGCCGGAATGACCCAAGAAAATGACTCGGGAGCCGGCCCAGTGTGCATCCCTGAGCAGAGTCCAAAGCGTCTGCAGATGGGCTTCTGTGCTTTCTTGCTGGAGCTCCAAACAGACCTGCTTCGTAAACTGCCGAGCGCCTACAGGCAGAGGCTGAGCCTCACTCTGAGCAGAAGCCCCGGGGGGCCAGAGCGCAGGGAGAGGACCACAGCGGTGAGGAATAAACCACGTTTTGAAAGATGTTAGTATTAGATGCGTAGAATGCAGGGGCAGGTGGGGGGTCAGGGCAAAGACTTGCTCCTGGTCTGAGTGCACCCCCAGCTCGGAGCTCTCTCAGCCCCGCCCTGTGCCAAGCTTCTCCGTCCACCATCAGGCGTTCCTGCCCTGGATCCCGTGGGATGACCGCTGACTTCCCACCTCTAGGCCACAAAGGAGGCCCATGCACCATCAGCGGCTTCTCATCAACGCCCTGCTCGCCTGCTTGCCTGCCTTCTTTCCTTCCTTCCCGCAGAGCTGAAGCCCCCAGCGGCTCCACCCTCGGGGCCGCCGGGCACAGCGCCGCCTCCTCCTCGCGGGCTGGGCGCCGAGGGTGCAGGCGTGAGGCAGATGGACGCTGGGCCTGCGCCCGCAGAGCCCTGAAGACTCGGCTCTCGGGCAGAAAGCAGAAGGACCCACGTCCCCTTGTTCATGGAACACCAGCAAGACCGCGTCTGGCTGTTTTTCTCCAGCTGGCGGAGTTTCACCTGAGCAGCTCTGTGTCCCCACTTGGGGAGCTCACCGGCCGCAGGGCAATCCTCCTGCAGCCTGTCCTCGCGACGGAGATACACATGCCCATCTGCTGACAAAAAAGCCTGCACACGCAGGAGGAGCTTCACCCAGCAGGAGCGGGGGCTCTGCACATCCTGGAGGGCTTGGAGCAAGCCCTCGGTGGTCGGCACCCCACCCCAGGCTGGACGTGCGCCTCGGCCTCCGCTGGAAATCACTGACTTGTCACTTCAGCCAGGCTTCCGCTAGAAGCATCCTCGGGGTCTCCAGGCTCCGTCCTTGAGCTCAGTCCACCCGCCACCGTCCACCTGGGCCAGAACGAGCATCAGCGGTCCATCCCTGCAGCGCCCTGGGTCGCCGCGGCCTCCAGCCCCTCCGTCCCCTCCAGCCCGGCCTCGGCTGCTGCGCCTGCCGCCTCTTGCCGCCCTGAGGGCCGGGGCCACTTCCGGGACAGGGACCAGCGGCTGCGCTTCCCTTGTTCTGACCCCGCGCCGGCCCCGGCCCCCCGGCTCGGTCTTTGGCCGCCTCTCTGCCCCGTTTCGCAGGCTCTTCCGCCGGATCTTCAGAGCCAGGCTCCGTGCTCCTGGCACTCTCCCGCAGGCTCCTCCCTGGGGGGGCTCGCCCCCGGCCACACGCCCCCGGGACCCCCCTCCCTGGCCTCGGGCCCCAGGAACCCCGCGGGCCTCAGATGGGCCCCTCCGCAGGCCCGACGCGGCGGAACCTGCCCCCGGGCGGCTTCGGACGGGGGCCTCCGTGGATTCGTCCGCCCGCCCGCGGTTCCACCGCAGGTTGGCACAGAGAAACGCAGGGGCCGCGTGCTGCCGCCCTGGCGGCCCCTCTGACCCATCACAGCCAGGAGGAGCTTTGGGTTTCAAAATGTCTGCCGTGCAACAAAATGTTCGTTTCCTCCCTGGACTGAGGAGCGTGACTTGCGCTCATTCAGTTCTTGGCAGGCGCTGCGGGAGGCGTGGGGCGCGGTGGTGTCACCGGTCTGCGGAGGGTCCCTTCCTGTCCGCGGGAGGAGTCCTCCCGGTTTGAGTCCTGCTGCGGGCACTCCATGCCAGGCGGGCACTCCATGCCAGGCGGGCACAGGTCGGAGGTGCAACCGTTCGCAGCTGTTGTGTGGACTAGGCGTTTCCTGTGGCTCAGCTTAACGGTCGAGCCCCCCGTGCTGGTCGGCCACCCCCTTCGGGGTCTCCGGTCCAGGGTGTGTTTATTAACGGCCTGGGAACAGACGACTGGCTGTGGTTAGGTTTTTCCCTGTATTTCTATTTTAAATTGCTTGTTTAGCCCAGGACAAGCCATTTCACATCCTCCATAATCAATAAATATCAAGTAAATTCTTCCAAAACCAAGTGGAAACCACAGTCTGGATAATGAGCTGACTTACGCCTTTAATGAATCTCCGCCATGGTCGCTTCCGTGGGCAGCTCACTGCTTTCATGACATTCTTCCCGAGCGGAGACAAATTGGAACAGGCACCCTTCAGGGTTTTCTCAGGAAGCAGGACTCATCCCAGCACATGAAATGGACGTGGCCTGATTCAATCAGACTCCTCGAGGACCTGCTCTGGGCCCGGGCTGATGATGTGTGCACAAAGCCGGCCCCAGGGGGGCCCAGCACCACCAGCATGAAGCCTCCCCGGCCAGGGAGGGGCCTGGAGGACAGAGTGGTCTCCCAGGAGCATGTGTTCAGCCCTCGATGCACAGAGGAGCTGCTGGATATGGAAGGAAAATACCAGAACTTACCTTTTTTTGTTTGTTTGTTTGCATTTCTGAAAGTTGTGAGAGTTAAGATTCATATATGGCGGGACTCCCCTGGGACACCAGGGGAGGCTTCACCTTCCAGTGCAGGGGATGAGGGTTCGATCCCTGGTTGAAGAGCTAAGATCCCACAAGCCTGGAGGCTGAAATCCCGGCCAATAGAACAACACATAAAACAGAATCAACAGAATCAATATCGGAACAAACTCAATAAACTCTTTAAAAATGGTCCACATCAAACAAATCTTAAAAAAAAAACATACCTCGCTTTAAAGAAGTGTTGGGCGCTGCCTTACCTTGGTGGTTGGCTTGATCTTCACGGCAGCTCTAGGAGGTGAAGACTGTCACAATCCTTGTTTCCGCAGGAAGCACGGGCTCAGATGGTTCCAGCGATCAGCGGCAGGTCAGGTCACTGCCTGGAGGCGTCAGAGCCGCCTGGCTGGTCCCCAGACGGTCTCTTATCGCTGTTGTTTAACCATTTCGTGGGTGAGCCTGTCTTCACCATGTGGTTACATGTATGTTTTAATAGCTTCCCTGGGGGCTCAGACGGTGAAGAGTCCGCCTGCAACGAAGGAGACCCGCGTTTGGGTTCGATCCCTGGGTTGGGAAGATCCCTTGGAGAAGGAAATGGCAACCCACTGCAGTATTCTTCCCTGGAGAATCCCATGGGCAGAGGAGCCTGGTGGGTTACAGTCCATGGGGTCGCAAAGCGTCTGACGTGACTGAGTAACTAATACTTTCACTTTAGTTTTCAAAGCAAACTCCAACTGTTCTCCACGGTAACTATCAGTTTACATTCCGACTAACAGTGCAAGAGGGTTCCCTTTTCTCCACATCCCCTCCACCATTTATTGTTTGTAGATTTTTTGATGATGGCCATTCTGACCAGTGTGAGGTGATACCTCCTTGTAGTTTTGATTTGCATTTCCCTAATAATTAGTGATGTTGAGCATCTTTTCATGTGTGTGGGGAGATCTGTATGTCTCCTTTAGAGAAATGTCTTTTTAGTTCTGCTACATGTTTTTTGATGGTTTTTTTTTAATGTTGAGCTGCATGACCTGTTTGTATATTTTGGAGATCAATCCTTTGTCAGTTATTTCATTTGCAAATATTTTGCTCCCATTCTGAAGGTTGTCTTTTTATCTTGTTTATGATTTCCTTTGCAAGGTAAAAGCTTTTAAGTTTAACTCGATCCCATTTGTTTATTTTTTGTTTATTTTTTATTAGTCTAGGAAGTCAATCAAAAAAGATCTTGCTGCAATTTATGTCATAGAGTGTTCTACCTGTGTTTTCCTCTAGGAATTTTATAGTGTCCAGCCTTGTGTTTGCGTCTTTAAACCATTTTGAGTGTATTTTTGTGTGTTAGGGAGTGTTCTAATTTCATTCTTGTACATGTAGCTGTCCAGTTTTCCCAGCACCACTTATTAAAGAGACTGTCTTTTCTCTCTTGTACATCCCTGCTCCTTTGTTAGAGACTAGGTGACCGTAGGTGCTGGAGTCTTTCTCTGGACTTTGTCTCCTGCTCCACTGATCTGTGTCTCTGTTCCTGCGTCAGGACCACAGCCTCGATGACTTCAGCTTCCTTAGATGGTCTCATCTCTGCCTCCTTCTGTCCGCCTCCATCAGCCAGATCTGATCCTGGCTCAGATGTCACCTCCTCAGAAGGGTCTCCTTGACCACTCAACCTAAGGTGACCCCTTCAAAATCACCCTGTACTACATGACTGCATTTTGGTTTCTTCATATTCTTTGTCAATACTGACACGAGCTTGTTTATTCTTTGTGCAGCATTCCTTCCTTATATTGGAAGCTTCATGGGAGTGGAAACTCACCTGTGGTTGTTAAGTGTCCCCAGTGCAACCAATAGTACCAGGCCCACAGGCGGCAGGTGACACAGCCAGATGTCCAAGTGGACATGTAAATGACTTCCTCCTCCTTCACCGTGACTTGTTTTGAAGGTCAAGACGGGCTTACAGAATGCTTGAGATAATTCCAGGCCATGATGGCTGCAGAAAGTCGAGGGAGGTTTCGTTTTGACAGCATCTTTTAGCCTGAGCTTTCTTAGTCTGGTGAACTAAGTGCCAGCGGGCCCAGGTGAATGACCCCGGGGATTCAGTCTCTCAGTGAGGAGGCTCCCACCCAGAGGTCACCCCTCAGACAGCCCAAGCAGAAAGAAGCCTGGCGGGTGGAGGGTAGTTAGGTCATGGAGAGGTTGTTGACATAAAGGGAACATTGACTTCCAGGAAACGGGAGGGGCCCTGCTGGGAGCCAAGGTGTGGGGGGGGCGGAGGTCATGTCCTAGGAGGCTGGGGCGTCCCTCACTCCCCCAGCAGTGTGGCCCCCGCCCTCCTGACTGCCCCGTGGTCACACACACTCCTCCTTTCATCTCACAGGATGCGTTTCCGGGGCCTCTCGCCAACCTCTTGACTCTCTTCTCTTTGCCAAATCCTAGGGCCAGCTATGTCTCCTCCTGACCTCTCTGAAGCTGCTGACTCCGTGAATCACTTTCTATCACTCTTGGCAGGCTTCCTTACAGAAAGAAAAAAGCCCTTTTGCTAGATTAATATTAATCACAAAGGATACGTTTTTACACTTTCTTTTTTTTTTACATCTCATTTTTCAATCTCAATGGATTCAACTTGTTGCAGCTACAATACATTGAAATTAAATATTGGAGACAGGAGCTGGGGACAAAAGGCAATATCGATAGAATGTGTGTTAAATATTGAAGTTTTCAAGATAAAAATGAATCACCTTATTATTTTCTGTGGACAGGCAGCGGCTCAGCACAGCGCACTCCCCAGGGGCAAAGCTTTGATTAGCGTCCACCACGTGCCCACGGCTTCGAGCGCAACGTCCAGCACTCTGTGCGGCTTTTGTTCCCTTGAAGCAGGCACTCAAGCCAGGGTTGTGGTTCCCACTCTGACAGCAGCGGTGTGTGCAGGGCTGGGACAACCAGTGTCTGGACTCAGGAGACTTGCGTTTGAGGCTTTGCGGTGAGCTCACACTGAGGAATGCTCTGCTTCCAGCTGTTGTCCCCCCGAATAGATCATCAGTGATGATGCTCCAGAAATTGGAGAATTACTGTTTGAGGGCAAATTCCAAACTGTTCTACCAAAATCTTTCCACACGCACACACACACACACACACAATGGATGCTGCCCTGAGTGGCTTTAACTGAGTTTTGAAATCTTCATAGAATATACTGGATGCACTCTAATGGCAGAAAGTGAAGAGGAACTAAAGAGCCTCTTGATGAAGGTGAAAGAGGAGAGTAAAAAAACTGGCTTAAAACTTAACATTCAAAAAACGAA